CATTTAGTAATATTCTTACCCTTCAAATGCTAGATTCGAGGACTCAGAATTTTGTAGAATAATAGTAGTACTAGAAAAAAGCCGAAATAATTCCAATAGATTGTTGTATTATTTAATCGGAAAATCTTCTTCTTTTAGCTTCTCGTTTCGCTTCTTTTGAGTTCGTTCTTTTTGAAATAATAGAGTTCTCGCGTTTTTTTATTTTTCTACGTGATTCTTATCTTCTCAGTTTATATAAGTTAGAAAAAATAACAGTTTTAACTATGGGACAATAACATGTTGAGTAGCTTCCAATGTTGCTTGTCAAATGGGCCTCATCTTTTAGTAAATAGGAAAAAAAGGTTACCTAAAAATTAAATTAGTTCTAAAGACTGTTACGTTACAAATAGCTTTCCACCGAAAACATATTGGTAGTGAAGAGTATATGGAACTACTTTATTTTACTGTGAAATAAGGCCGAAAATGCTCGAAAAAAACTATATTTTCCCCTTTTTAGCTTGGTGGATTCCGCGCCAAAAAACTTTTTAATATTTTGGACTGTTACATAACATTAAAAAATACTGCCGACTTGATTTTCATATGGAAAGCTAAGCGCTGATTTTTTTTTGTCGAATACTTTTTTATGAAACTCAAAATAATACAAGGCCATCGAAGAGAGGCAAGTATAATGCAAAAAAGTGGTGGACCTTCAAAATAAACTACCATTTAGTTTCATGTTGTGCTTTTTTAATTTTCGTTTATTTAAAGGCGTCTCAAGATTAAGTGAATTTTCATGTTTGAGAGAAGGAGATTCGTGTTAATATTGATGTTGTCCGATACCTTAGAATATGTATGACCCAGACATAATCGAAAATCTGCGAAACATGAGAAAAAAAATGTTTCTCCTTGGTTTCGTTTTCTGCGATTTGGGCCATATGTTGAATTTAAAAAGAAAATAGCGGACATACACATAAATCTAGTTACTGCAAGGAGGAGAATTGCGTTTCTTTTAAAAGATTTAGGTGATGCATATTTTCGTACTTACAGGATGTACATTTTACGCAGTTAATGATAATCTGGGTAACTTTTTGTTCTAGATGCGGTATCCAGTAATTTTGGTGGATGGCATGCATCGTCTTCTGCACCGAAAAATGTCCAGAATTGTGGGCGTCAACAATAAGTCCTTTTTCCATCAGCTTGGTCTTGTAGACCAAACCGCCTTTCATCTTGAAAGTGTCATATGGCCGACTGGCAAGTATCTCCACGATTGCTTTGATC